GTATTTCGTGATTAAATCATCTCAAGGGCAATTAGGGACAGAAAATAAATGCTTGTCAGCGATGCTCAAACCGTTTGAATGAAAAAAAAATTCAGACTTTGCCATGATGGTACTTTAACATAGTCTGGCATTAGCATCCTGCTTCTGATTTCCTTACCAGAGAGGGCAGACGAGACAACATGATGAAATGTAAATGGAAGGATTTCACATTAAAGGGACCCGTTTAAACTCGGATTAAACTGTTCATTTATTTATATTGTTGCAACAACAAGAATGAAAGAGAGTGCAGGGATGCTGTGAACACCTCATTGATGTTTACTGAGGTCTTGCTGCAGAATCTGAGTAACTGAAATTTGTGTCGATCAATAATGAGAAGAGGCAGCCTCTCAGACAAAGCAGACATGATGGAAGTGGCCAAGGAAGTGAGTAACTGGTGCAAGAGATGCGAGAGGCATACATCTTTCAGGTGCCACCTTCCTCATTCTGAATTTCCTCACATTCACCTGACGAAGAAGCAGTGCTCCTCAAATAAGCCGGTTAGACTATAATCTGGTGTCATGTGACTTCTGACATTCATCTGCACAGCAGTCCTCAGAATAATATATCTTGCAACTGCACTCATTCTTCTTTTCAGGTCTTTCCACATCTAAATAGTCAACACTCATTGTCATCTGTGTGTCATCTCCTACCCATATCTCTCAGTCACCTGCAACAAAATAAAATTCCCTCACCAACATTGTCTACTTCTCACAGTCACAACTCTCTGTTTTCCTCCTTACTGGATAAAATATTACAGAACTCCAAGGAAGATATAGAACAGTAGGTGTGGGGTAATCATCGCCTGGTTAAATGGAATGAAAGCTTTGTTCCAGGAGGTTGCAGATGTCAGCAATGACTTAGCATGAAGAACTGAATCTCCTGAGGCACTAGTGCACAATGTTGAGTGAGGTAATCCTTTGTTTGTAGAGACTGAATTGTGGGCTTCACCTCCTTGGAGCTGGGTCTTTATACCTATCCCTTTTGCCCTGTGGAACAGATTGTGAAAGAGGAGCTAAAGTGCTGTTGCTCCTGCTGCTTTTGATCTTGCTACATTACTTATCCTTCATCAGAGGACCTAGGTAGAGCTGATTAAGTTGTTACCATACCACATTGAAGGCTGCCAGCAGAGAAGTGCAGATTGAGATGAGCGAAGTCAAAGACAGATGAAATGACTTCAAAGTAGTTGGAAATCACCTGATAAGCTGTTATTGCATATTCTCAGAAAAAGTGCTGTGAGCATCCACTTTATCCATGGGTGCAGCTATTCAATTTCCCTGATTGAAAGCACAGGCTGTCAATTTTACTGAAGAAGCCACATGCCACCATGTTTTTGGGCTAGTTGACATCGAGATGTTCTAACCTGCTTATGGAACCTGTACACTGATTGTTAAAGACAGAACGCTGGTTAAATCCTGAGTTAATTGTTTCTTTAATTATTTTAATTACTTATTGACAGTTCTACAGGTGAATCTTGCTTGCCTGCAAATGCACCTGGAAAAGACTTGGAAGCTACAGGATAATGTTGGGTTTCTGAGCAAACACCATGTTTCAGGACATCATAACCACATCTGTATCTAAACCCACTTCTCCAAGACAGTTAAATTTCTGCCCAGTATTAATGTAGTTTCTGGGCAAAGGCAACATTTTATGGTTGGGTATTTAACAATGGTAATACCATTGAATGTCAAGAGGAGATGTTAATTTTTTGTTGGAGATGATCATTCCCTGGCACTTGTTTGATCCAAATATTACCTGGCGTTAACACCAGCCTGAATCTCGTCCAAGTTTTGCTGCCTGTGGCCATGGACTGCTTCATTATCTGTGTAGTAACAAGTGGAACTAAACACTCTGCAATCATTAATGAACATCCCCACCATCTCCCTCATGAGGGAAGGGAGGCCATTTCTGAAGATGGTTTAGACCTAGGACATTCCCCTGAGGAACTCATGCAGAAATATCCTGAGACTAAGATGATTGAATTCCAACAACCAGAACCATCTTCCTTTTGGTTAGATATAAGTCAACCAGTAAAAACCTTTTGCTCAAGGGCAGTCACTCTGTGTTCAACTCTTTTGGCCATGTTTGGACTAAGGCTGTAATAAAGTTGGAAACCCAGTAGTGATAATTGTCCAGATTGTATTTGTTCTGTTCTTTTGTGAATAGGACACTCTTAGTGGTTTTCAACAGGTGAATTTCAGTGTTGAAGCTGTACCTGAACAACTTAACCAGGGAGTGCCCTGGTTCTAAAGCCCAAGTCTTTAGCCCTAGAGCTAAGATATTGTTAGTGGTGAAGCTTTTGCTGCTTCCAATATATTCAACTTTTCTTGATAGCTGGTTGAATAAATTGAATTGGCTGAAGACTGGCATTTGTGAAGCTGGAGGCCTCTGGATGAGGTTGAGCTGGATTATTTACTTTACACTTTTGGCTGATGATGGTTGCAAACACTGCAGCTTTGTCTTTTGCACTTATATGCTGGGTTTCACCATCATTGAGATTGGGAATGGTCAAGAACAGTTCTCCTCCAGTTTGTTGTTTAATTGTCCACCACTATTAATGATTGGATGTGATTCTACCCTTGGTCTGTTTTCACCCAGTGCTTTATTTGAGGAATGGACTTAATCAGTTTTATACATTGTTTTACTTAGGGGTGCTTGCATAGTAATTTAACAACTTTACATAGATGTGGAGACTGGACCCATGTTTATATTTATGTACCCAGGATGACCAAAACGTACTCATCCCACCTATGGTAGGAGAGGCGAGAAACAGATCTACTGCAAGCTCAGAAGTCCTTGAAAAAAAATGTCTCCACAGTCCTTCCTAGGCAATAGGCAAGCCCTTACCTCTTTTTTATTACCTAGGAGTCATATCGAGTAAATACCTTCTAAACTATGTGATAACTTTGGTATCACATGCCATCTTAAGGTTCTATTGGGAATAAATTTTCATTCCATCTTTTGGAGTCTTGCTCCAGACATTGATCAGCCTGTGAGAAAAGTAAAGCTAACCTTATTCTGCCCAAAAACACAAGACTGTAGACATAGGAGTAGAAGTAGGCCATTAAGCCTATTGAATCTGTTTTACCATTCAATGAAATAGTGGCTGACCTGATAATCATCAATTTCATTTTCCTGCCTTTTCCTTATGACCCTTCATTCTTTTACTGATTAAAAATCTGTCCATCTTTGTCTTGAATATACTTAACAACCCAACCTTGGCAGCACTGTGCGGTGAAAAATTCCACGGATTCACTACACTATGAAAGAAGAAATTCCTCCTCATCCCTGTTTTAAATGTGTGACCCCTTATTCTGAGATTATATACTCTGTCCTGGACTCTCCAAAAAGGGGAAACAACTTCTGCACATCTTACCTCTGAATCTTGTATGTTTTGATAAGGTTGCCTCTCATTCCTGCCCAACCTACTCAACCCCCCCTCATTAGATAATCCTTCAATGCCCAAGAACAGCCTAGTGAACTTTCTTTGGCCTACCTCCAGTGCCAGTATATCTTTTAGATAAGGAGCCCAAAACTTTTCACAACTGTGGTCTGACTAGTGATAACACAGTGTGGAGCTGGAGAAGATCAGTGGGCCAGGCAGCATCAGAGAAGCAGGAAAGTTGATGTTTTGGGTCGGGACCCTTCTTCAGAAATTCTTCAGCATTTCTGAAAAAGGGTCCTGACCCGAAACGTCAACTTTCCTGCTCCTCTGATGCTGCCTGGCCAGCTGTGCTCCTCCAGCTCCACACTGTGTTATCTCTGACTCCAGCATTGGCAGTTTTTACTATCTCTGATGTGGTCTGACTAGTGCCTTTTATAAGCAAAACTTCTCTACTTTTATATGCTATTCCCTCTGCAACATCCCAGTTGCCTTCCTTATTACCTGCTGAACTTGGGTGCTAGCTTTTTGTGACTCCTGCAAAAGGACTCCCAAAGCCCTCTGTAGTTTTCTGCAGTGTTTCTGCATTAAATAATATTAATGTCCTTTATCCTTCCTGCCAACAAGCATAACATCACACATTTTCCCACATTATGTGCCATCTGCCAGATTTTTACACACTGGCTTAACCTGTATACATCCCTCTGCCGACTCTTTGTGTCATGCTTCCACCTATTTTCATGTCATCAGCAGTAATACATTCAGTTTCCTCATCCAAGTCATAAATATATATTTATAAACATCGTAGCACCAGCACTGATCCCTATGGCACTCTACTAGTTACAGATTGCCACCTATAAAATGCTCCCCTTATCGCAACCCTCTTCTTCTATTAGTTAGTCATTCCTCTATCCATGCTAATATCCTGCATCCAACATGATAGAGTCATATTAAGTAGCCTAATGTGTGATACCTTATCAAATACTTTCTGAGATTGTATCCTCTGTCCTAGACTCCCCAACATATATTGTCTTCACTGCTTCACATTTATCTATCTTGTTTGTTCCCTCCTCAAAGTTTCCCAGTAAATTTGTCACACATGATTTCTCTTTCATAAAGTCATACTGACTCTGTTTGATCATTTATGTATTCCTAAATGCTCTGCCATTACACCCTTTACAACAGACTCTGATATCTTCTCAATAACAGACGTTAAGGTAACTGGTCTATACTTACCTGATTTTTGTCTTTTTTCTTATTGAAATAAAGGTGTTACATTGGCAGTTTTTCAACCCTATTGAACTTTTCCCAAATACGTAGTGTTGTAGAATTTTTACAGTGTGACAGAAGGCCCTTCAAAACTACATGTTTGTACTGGTCTTCAAGCATCTATCTTCTAATCTCATTCTAATCTAATTTTCCAGCATTTGTTCCATAGTCTTGTCTGCCAGCATCAAACACTTTCCATTTTTGGGTGATATTCATGCCTTTTGTAGTCTTAACTATGAGGATAAAATCTCCTCCTGCTCTACAGTTATCTATCTGGGCCTGTTTTCATGAAGATTTTTCCATTTTTCTGTAGGCTGTTAACATATAGTTTGAGCCTTGTGCCTTGTGGAGTGCGACATTTACCGTCATATGAAATGTTTGCTACAGTCTCGAAAGATGAACATGGAACTGGCACTGCCAAAGTTCAGGCTGGCTCTGCCTTACTGGCTAAAGGAGGTATCTGCTATATAGGAGAACTTTTTTCATACAGAAAAGACAAACTTGATTTACTTCAGACAGGTATGCTCCACACTTCATTACCATCAGCCCTAGGTAGTTGGTATTTAATAGAATTTTGCATTGAAACTGTGTCTTGTGTCTGTATTAGTTTTAGAGACTAGGAGTACCACAGTGTTTATTTCTGGGAAAAAGTTTGGAGAAGATGTTGATCAACAGATGTCCTTTCCAATCCAGTGCAACTTCTGGGCTTTGGCTGATGCTGATAGTCACCTAAAGAAAGCCATGCAACAAGAAGATGCTGTAATTGGTTCAATGGTAAGAAAAAAAGCCAGGCAGTATCTTATTCTGTTCAAGGATAACGTATATCACAGGTGTGTGATGTTGAATTAAACTTTGATTCTTATTAAATAAAAATTGAAATCAGTAGTTAGCACTTTAGATAAAAACATTGACACAATTTAAAATTATTTTCTTTTACATATATGCTGCAGCCAAACTAAAAGTGGGAAGTAATCTTGCAGTCTTCTGCCAGTAATCGCTTTAAACATTGCTGATGTATTTTAGAGTAGCCCAGCCTGAAATAATGAGAGAAATTTTAGTCCCCAGAAATGGATGCATTTGTGGCAAGTGAAATGTAAAATTAACTTTAAATCTCAAATCTAGCTCCTAACTCACCAGGTTTTAGTGGAGGTGGATAGGATGTGGAGGGTTGTGACAAAACCGGTTTCCTCTTAGGAAATGAATAGTCAGTAAGCTTTTTAATTGAGGTGGCATCTTTCCATTTTAAAAGGTTTTCTTTTACCCATTTTTGCTAGGTTTCCAGGGAATCAGTGTAGATTAAAGGGAAGTTGGGTTGGATCCATGAAGTTTTCCTTAAGTAAATTGAAAGCACTGCTGTGGGCCAGGAGAGGCAAGAATATTTTCTTCAGCCCCAACAAACTTACCACCCACCAGTCCATCGCAATCACTGATCCCATTGCCAACTCTACACTCTCATACTGCCCAATCATTCACATCTCCGTATATGTTCCTCTCTCCATGATCTCTCCTCTGCTTCATGGCCCATTCTGCAAGCTTTCCTAGTTTGTCGGAATCCAGACTGTTTTAAAAAAAATGCTTTTTTCTAATCAAGTGGTTCAGAAATGTTATTACACACTTTTAGAACAGGTGGGACTTGAACCTGGACCTCCTGGCTCAAAGATAGGTCTCCTACCATTGCACCATAAAAGCTCTTAAATCTTTTGTGATGATTCCCAGAATAACAGGGCCTGATTTTAAATGTGCTATGTTAGTGCAAACATCTGGAGCAGGTGGGACTTGAACCCAAGGACTTCAGGCTCAGAGATGGGGACACTACCACTGTGCCACAGGAGCAATTCTTTCCCACCCTGGAATCATCAGGAACCAACAGATTCCAGTTTCATCTTCTCCCATGCATACGTGGCAAAGACATGAATTGAAAACTATACAATTCCCTTTACAGACAATTTGGGCCCCCATGATGTCATCAACGGTAGATTGCAATGTTTACTCAGTGACCAGAATGAGAAGTAGTATTAAGTATCCTACTGGATCAACCCAACAACAAAGCAAATTACAGCCCAAAGAAGGCTAAGCTTAAAAATGTTTTTCTTTCCTTGGTGGGGTGTGGAGGAGTGGTTGGGGGAGAGAACCAGGAAAAACAGGAGTATATTTGATAATCTTCTCCACAAGAGACTATCGGTAAGAACAAATATCCACAGAATTGGAGGTGATCTTATGGCATGTGCTGAAATAGGTTGAGAGATTGGAGACAGACAGTAAGTAATATGCACAGGTATCCATTACCCACCATGTTAGTGACCTCCTCAAAAAGAAGCTACGTTAGTCTGACATGACTCACCCTTCACAAATCTATTTACGATGCTTTCTAATCTCGTATTATTCAAATATGTTGCCCCTTGTCAAAGTCATACCATGGTAGGCACACTGATTCCTCATGTTGTCAATATCAATTTCAAAGTTCACCTTTCTTCCATGATTATACTGTTCAATGTTAACAATATTAAGGTTTGAATGTGATGACTTTGAATAAGCCCAGGTTTTCATAACTTCGGCGCTTAGAATCTTCATATGAGGGAAAAAAACATGATTCGTACTGGGATAAAACACTGAGGAGGAATCCGAAAGTCATTTTAGAAGAGTAAAGTAAGTAATAGTTACTATATCATTATCATTAGTTCAAATCCTCATTCACTACAGCTAATATCATGTTAAGAATACTTGCACCTATCTTAATTTTATTTTTAAATGGAAAATTGTTTTGCATGGCCACTTTGGAAACTTATCAGATTTTTGTATCCAGACTACAAATCAATTATTAATTAATATTTGTGTCAAATTAAATTCTTCCAAGGGTTGTTTAAAGCAAAATGGGGGGTGATTTTCAGTTTGAACATATATTGAGTGTGTGAAGTATTATATGTGTTCTAATTAACCTGTACAGTGGTGTTAGTACACACTTATAAAGCAGATGGGATTTGACCCATCCCTTCTAGCTCAGAGGCCACCACACCACAAAAGCCCTTTTTGTCAAGTGTGCCTATATTTCCTAATCAACCCTTTCGGAAATGTTGTGACATACCTCTGGAGCAGGTGGAACCTGAACCCAGGTTTCCTGGCTCAGAGATAGGAACATTACCACTACACCTCAGGAGTCCTTTGTGTATGACAATGTGTATTTACATTAATTCACTGAGCTGTCATTCTTCCTATTGGTAGTTTACTGGACTAGAGGATACAAGATCCAGCACGTCACCAATGTGAAGGTGCAGCTGCATCTTAACTGGGATGAATCATAGAATAGAATCTCTTCAGTATGGAAGCAGGCCATTCAGCCCAACAAGCCCACACCAACTCTCCAAAGAGCATCCCACCCAGACTCGCCCCCCTAACCTATCCCTGTAACTGTGTGTTTCCCATGGTTAACCCACTTAACCTACACATCCCTGGACACTGTGGGCAGTTTAGCATGGCCAATCCACCTCACCTGCACATCTTTGGACTATGGGAGGAAACCGGAGTACTCAGAGAAAACCCTCACAGACATGGGGAGAATGTGCAAACTCCATACAGAATGTCACCCGAGGCTGGAATTGATCCTGGGTCGCTGGTGCTGTGAGCAGTGCTAACCTCTGAGCTACTGTGCCAAAGTACTTGAAGTACTTGGAGAAAGAGGGAGCATAGCGCTTTTAGAGAGAAAGATGTCAAACCTTTTAAGCCTTGAAGCTCACAGAAGACAGGTATAGTACAATAGCAAATAAGCAATCAGTTTTTATTATTTGAACCCCAACTGCTTTTTGTGAATGCACAAAATAACTGGATCTGAACATGGAATGCCATTCTGGTTGGGTTGGAAGCAGTAATTCAGCAAGCAGAGATGAAATTGGTTCATGGATCATGACTGTGGCATTTGATTTCAATTAATATATATTCATGAGGTTTCAATGCGATGCTTCAACTACTTACATGAAACCTACCCAATAACTAAAATGAGCTGGAACCATACAGTAGATTGGTGTTGAAACATAGCCTTTTATTTGGTCCTGCTACTATTGTTTTAAAGTGCAAATGGGGAGATAGGAACCCAAAAGATGCCCAATTTTAATTTATACATTTTTTTCTTTTTAAAACTTGTTGATTTTTTGTTGTTTCTTTAACTTAGGACATCAGCTCAGTCCCAGCTAATCTGGTTGATGGTTTTGGTCTGTTGATTTACTGTGGTGAATCATCCAACTACCATTCTCCTGTGCATCTAATACAGCATGTACTGAGTGAAGCTATGAATCCAAGCAAGCCTCTTTATCCAGCACTGCAGAAATTTACGACACAAGACTATGAAAAGGTAAAAATAAGAAATTGATCTAGTTGCTAATCCATGAACCAAAAGGAAAACCTTATTACAACAGTGTTGACTAAAATAGTGTTGACTAAATGAGAATCAATACTTATTTTCATTTTAGGACCTTCACTGTCAAATTGTGTAAATGCTGAAATGACCATAAATATAAGATTAAAGTACATCTCCATATGGTACCTACCTAACTAACATGCAAATTAATGTATGGTTTTGTTGTAAACACATTTCACAAATGATTGAAATATTTTACTTTCATTCTTGTCATAGTAATTTTCTTTGTCATTCATCTGTGACCAAAGTGGTGTAATTTTAATTTATTCTTAAATGGTTGATTGTCACCTGAAATAAGGACCAAGTCAGTTAATTAACTGTGCCACCGACCCAAAGCTGGTGTTGGAATGCATGAACTATCATGTACATGACTCATTTGAATGTTGCTGTTGAGCTGTCAGCACCAAAGAAACACTGCATTATAGCATGCCAGTTGTCAAGGGTGGAAACGGATTTGGCTTGTGGAGGGAGGACATGTGGAGAGGAAAGGAGAACTAAATCTGGATGATGGACCTATAGAAACCTGTAAGATTTTTTCTGAGGTCAAGAGGAGCTTTCCAGTGCATCTCCTATGCCCACAGAAAATTCTTCAAAAATAATTCTTGTGCCCTTTTTATCAAACAGCAATCAATGGTTCATTGAAGGATCTTACATCAGGCTGCTCAGGTGAATCAGACGCCAAAATGCTGCTTCAAATTGTATCTGTTTTAAAGCCAGTCCTGTTTTTATTGTCAACTAATGCATATATTTGCAAGTGCAGGAAGATTGATTATTATTATATGTCTGGTCAAACGACTAGTTTTATGATAAAGAGTATATATTCGAGAAAATAGTATGAATTTCAAAAATACACGAGCAGTGCCATAACATCATGGTCATGCAGTGATTAAGAAGGTTGATAAGCACTGCTTTTTTCATTTGTGGATCCAGAGTAAAATCCTTTTGTCAAATCATTTGTGTGCACTCTGACTCATAAAGGAGAAACCAATTGCTGTTTGGTGGCAGTTTGATGCTGCAAGAGTTAAACCCTTGTAACAAAAGGTTGTAAAATTTGAGCAACTATTTTAAACTGAAAAGAACTATTGATAATTAAAGATAAAATCAGAGGCCCTTGGTCAACTTTGAAAAACCGCCAGACAACATGAATAGATTCATGGTGTAAGCATTAAGTTTCTATAAGTATAAGGGTGAGCTGTAAAACACATATCAAGTGTTAAAAATACATTTCAACACCTTTGGATTCCAAGCAACAATGCAAAGGTTGATTTTAATTGGGTTTAATTTTTAAGCACATTTATTGATAACAAAATCATATCAATTTAAGAGCCCTCCTCTAAGGACATGGTGATAATCAGATTATGAATGAAAATCTGCTGTACAGAGCACAAAGTAATGACTAATTCTTATAAAAATGGCAATGTCTTTGCGTTCATTACGGTTTATAAATTAGTTTCTCTAGCTTCGATCTTAGTTCTTCATGTATGTCCATTTTCTGAATGTGAAGGATTTAGATATTTTACTTGCTGGCCTAAAATAAAATGTGATTCACCTGGAGGAACGGGTTTCAATTCTGAAATTGATTTAAATGTCATAAGTTCTTTAGTTAGTACACATTTACTAAATTTGCAGTTTTACTTAATAAATTGAAAAATAGTTGAGTAAATGTGTATTTAGGAATCAAGTAAGATATATTCTTCTGGAGTGCTTCTGATCAGTCTGTGACTGTATGTCTCCTGATTTAAAACACATCTTGATCAGCTGCTAGCATTTGCTAGAAACCAGCAGACTGAACTTACTTCCGAGGCCGAGAGGCTTATACAAGGGTATTACACTGCAAGTCGGAGAGTCCGAACTGATCCTGTCCATGGATCTAAAATTTCCCCCACTGCACTGAAGGCATTGTAAGTTATTTTTATGAAAATTCATCACTGAGTAATATTTTGTAAATAAAATGTACAGTCTTATTGATTGAGGGAGAGCAATTGTAGCATCAGTTGAAAGTTGGAGCAGTTTAGTAACCAATCTCAGCTAAAATAGTGAAGTTTGTTCAAAGCAAATGTAACTATTGAAAAAATCCGATTGAGAATCTAATAGAGTTAGTCCTAATGTTCTCAACCCCCTTTATATCCTATGAGATAGCCTATATTTCAATGACAGGATCTGTTAACTTTTTACCTATGTCTTTTGGACTACTGCAGAAATACAACAAATGTGAAAACACTGTTTGTTAATATTCTAGCCTCCCTTGGGTTTCAAAGTATGCTAAACACAGTGAAGGCATGAAATAATTAGTCATAAAACTCGCATATTTTAAAATAACAATGTTTCCTAATACCACAGAACCGAAAGATAATGGATATTCCTGCATTTCTAATTTGAAATTATAGGATACATTATGTTGGTGTAGAGTAGAGGGATATTTACTCAATATCCACCTGGACCTGATCTGGAATTGCCAGGTACTGAAAAGATATACCCTATTTCCCACATCCCTTGCTTGATGAATATAAAACAACTGTTCACTTAGTTAGGGAATTTGGGAGACATTTTTTTTTTAAAAAGGCATCTGTGACCTGATTCTAGGATTCCCTGCACATTCCCAGGATTTTGAGTTTTCAGAAGTGCCTCTTCAGGTTGTGGGCTGATGGGCTGTGAGCTCACACCTTGAATTGCTGATGTGGTCAGCTCCACTGCAGGGATTGGCATATCCTTCTCCACAATGTTCATGGAGTTGAGCTAACTTTTTGAAGTGTTGCGACTCACACATCTGAGTTGTTAGCTATGGTCTACATGTGAGCTTTTTATGCAGGAGATGATGGTATAGTGGTAATGTTACTTGACTAATAATTCAATAAGCTAGTATAATACACTGAGGACATGGTTCAACTCCCACAAACTGACATATTTAATAAAATATAAAATTAAAATCTTGTCTCTAATGGTCACCATGGAACTGATAGGTTGTCATAAAGTCTCATCTGGTTCATTAATGCCCATTAGAAAAGGGAATCCGCTGTCTTTACCTGGTCTAATCTGCATGTGATTGCAGACCCACAGCAATATGGTTGACTCTTAACTGCTCCTTTAAATTAGAATAGAATAGAATATCCTTTACTGTCACATGTACTCAAGTACAGAAGTACTGTGAAATGTTTCAGATGTCACCTCTCATTGCGCCATCTTAGGTACAAAGTACCTAGTTACAAATCTTAGAAACAAAAAAGTAGGAATAAAAAAGAAAAGAAGTTGCATTACCTTACAGTGATTCATAGTATAAGTTAGAAACAAGACATTGTTAAAGGGATAAACATTACATTGCTGTAGCTCAGCGCAGGAGTTTCCATGTGTGGTCTGACCGGCTTCGCAAGCTGCTGACTGCCCGCACCAGACCCTAGTCCAACAACTGTCCCCACTCCACTCCAGCTCTCAGCCATTCCAGGCCTCCAGCCCACTTTGCTCCAGCCCTTAGCCACTCCGCACCGCTCCAGGCCTCCAG